CTGGGACAATAAGGCCGTGTACATGCTCTACACGGAGCTGTTCACAGGTGAGAAGAGCCTGGGCCTCCTGGACCTGGACCAGCGTCCCCGGCCCTGCCTCCCAGGCCCTGTGACTGCTGCTCTCTGCACTTCTCCTTGCCCCCAGGCTTCATCAAGGTTTTGCTGTACATGGCTTTCATGACTATCATGATCAAGGTGCACACCTTCCCTCTCTTTGCCATCCGGCCCATGTACCTGGCCATGAGGTAAGCCCAGCCCAGACCAGCCCTCCCTGCCCCTGACCCACACCTGATCCCCCCGCCCCCGCTCCCCCACCCAGCGTTCACCGCACCTGGTCTTGCAGGCAGTTCAAGAAGGCTGTGACGGATGCCATCATGTCCCGCCGCGCCATCCGTAACATGAACACACTGTAAGTGGGCTGGACTGGCTGCTGTCCCCAGCTCTGCCCCTGGCTCCCCCGACTCCGCCTCTGGTCTTGACCTAGCCTTGGCCTGTCCTCACTAGGTATCCAGATGCCACCCCAGAGGAACTCCAGGCGATGGACAACGTGTGCATCATCTGCCGAGAAGAGATGGTGACGGGGGCCAAGAGACTGCCCTGCAACCACATTTTCCACACCAGGTGGGGGGGGTGCCCAGGGAGCCTGACATTGGGGGAGAGGCTCTGGAAGGCTGCCCCCCAGGGATCTGCGGACCATCGCCTTATCTTCGTCCCCCTAGCTGCCTGCGCTCCTGGTTCCAGCGGCAGCAGACCTGCCCCACCTGCCGCATGGACGTTCTCCGGGCATCACTGCCAACCCAGTCACCTGCGCCCCCGGAGCCTGCTGAGCAGGGGCCACAGCCGGCCGCTCACCCCCCACCACTCCTGCCGCAGCCCCCCAACTGTGAGTGGCCCCCTCATTTGGCCATCCAGCACACCCTATTCTGAGCTGGGTATGGGAAACACGAGGTTAATCAGACTCCCTGTTCTCCAGGAGCTCAGTCTGGGCAGGGAAGGGGGTCCTAGGAAGAGACATCAAATGGCTCGTAGTCATGGGTCATCAGTGCTGAGTTCAGACGGGCCCTTGGGAGCAAAGACAGGGTTCCTAACAGCTAGCCCCTTGGGTGTGACTTGCATCTGTCTCACTTGGATCTTTTCTCACTACCCTGTTCTCTCTCTGCAGTCCCCCAGGGCCTCCTGCCTCCCTTTCCTCCAGGCATGTTCCCGCTGTGGCCCCCGATGGGTCCCTTCCCACCTGTCCCACCTCCCCCCAGCTCAGGAGAGGCTGGGGCCCCTCCGTCCACCGGTGCAGGTGAGTCTTTCCGGGACTGCGACAGCCAAGGGGTGGGAGGAATGGAAGCGGAGGCCTCTTAACACTCTCCAAACTGTTCTTACCCGTCAGCAGCCCTTCCTCGGCCCAGTGGAGCCGCCACAACCACAGCGGCTGCTGCGGCCCCGGCCCCAGCCCCTGGCTCCGCCCCCGCCCCCGAAGCCGGCCCCGCCCCAGGCTTCCCCTTCCCTCCCCCCTGGATGGGCGTGCCGCTGCCTCCGCCTTTTGGTAAGCCGAGCCACAGGCGGGGTTGATGGGGAGGAGGGGTCGGTGGGACCCAGGCTGAGCCTCGGGCCTCTCTCCAGCCTTCCCCCCCATGCCCGTGCCCCCCGCGGGCTTTGCGGGGCTGACGCCGGAGGAGCTGCGGGCTCTGGAAGGCCACGAGCGGCAGCACCTGGAGGCCCGGCTGCAGAGCCTGCGCAACATCCACACGCTGCTGGACGCCGCGATGCTGCAGATCAACCAGTACCTCACCGTGCTCGCCTCCCTGGGGTACGTCCACGGCCGCCACGGAGGCCCCCGGCCGGGGTTGCCTCGGCCCACCTATCTGTAGGCAGACCAGGGGCTCCAGGTTCTCGAGGCCTCTGTCCTCTTGCTGCAGAAGGCCTGCCTGGGTCTCAGGAGGGCTGACGGTTAGTAGAGCGTGGACTTCACATCCCGTTCTTTCAGGTTTTTCTAAAATCGGACGACTCCTAATTCTCAGTGCTTTCGTTCATCACGGGGCCCTTCTCACAAGTTGGTGACCCTGTGCCTTAGAACCACTGGCCCTGATTTGAGTCAGCAAATATAAAGGCCCCTAGAACCACCCCACCCTAAGTTCAAGTTCTGGTCACACCACTCACTTGCCTGGAGACCACTATCGCCTTATTTTAATAAGTCCCGCCCATAGTTCACGTGCAGAGGGCCCAGCATGCGGGGTGGGGGGGTGACATCACAGGCTTGGCGGGGTGCTGGAGTCAGAGATTTGAGTGGGGTTTTATTCAGGGGAAAGTCTGCGGGTGTCCCTTGGAGCCTGGCACCCCGCAGTCTCAGAGCAAACAAGGCCACCACCAGTGCTCGCCCGCAGGTGGCTTATGGCCCCTCTGCGGTGTGGGCCCACGAGGACTCCCACAACACGTGTTCGCCTGTGTCTGCTGTTCCCTTGGGCCTCAGACGTCCCTCAGCGCTGATGCTACCCTGCAGGGCTCATAAGGGGCAGACAAATCTGCCCAGTCGTGCCAGGATGTCAAGGCCTCACCTGCCCCTTCTTCTCTTCTCAGACCCCCCCGACCTGCTGCCTCAGTCAGCCCCACTGAGGAGACTGCCCCTGCGGTGGTCACTGCTGCCTCCCCCACCAGCATCCCCAGCTCTGAGACCACCACCCCCTCCCCTGGAGCCTCCCCACCAGCCCCTGAGCCTGAAAAGCCTCCAGGTAGTCTCGGTCAGCCTGGGGGTTGGGATGGGGAGTGGGGAAGGAACTGCTCTCGGTTCCACTTCTGAACTCTGTCCCCAGCTCCTGAGTCACTGGGCACGGAGGAGCTGCCTGAGGACGGGGAGCCTGATGCAGCAGAGCTCCGCCGCCGCCGCCTGCAGAAGCTGGAGTCCCCTGTTGCCCACTGACACTACCCCAGTCCTCCCCTGCCTCCGCTCTCTTGCTGTAACACATCCTGCCACCAAGTGCCCGCTCCCTCTCGGTGTGCACCAGGGAGTAACGACCCCCAGCTCTGAGAGAAAGGAGGAGGCATCCCCTAGGCCAAGTGGAAAGACGCCTGAGGCCCCAGTTGACTCCAGTCCTTCCAGTCCCGGGCAGCCATGGGGATCTTGGGTCCATTCCAGCCTCCCTCCCCCACCCTTCAGCCTGTTCTGCTGGGGCCGTGAAGGCAGGAAGGCAGTCTCTGAGAAGCCCTCTCCCCCTCCCCCCTCTCTGGGAGAAGGGGCAGCCCCTCCAAGGCCCACTTTGTGTGTGTTTGTGTGTGTGTGTGTGTGTGTGTGTGTGTGTGTGTGTTTGTGAAGTCGCTTCCGTGCTAAACAGTATTAGCGCCCCGATCCCATGTGGGAACTTAAGGGGCCGGAGGCAGGCCAGGAACTTGCTCCCTGGGCCACCCACCAAGATTGGTACTGCTGTCCCTTTTCTTACGCTAAACTCCCTAGAGGCCCTTTGTGATGGTGGCTGTGTCACTCATGCCCTGTGGTGTTTCCATGTCTTACTGGCAACCGCCCAGCTCAGGGAGAGGCCTGCCTCGGCCTGGAGGAGCCAGGGGGCAGCACTGAGGTGCCCTGCCCCTCTCCCCAGGGCCCCTTCTCCCTGCGGTCGGTCTATCAAGTGAGACCATTCCTGGTCTCACCCGGCAACCACTGCCCAGCCTTGCGCCAGGCTGAGGGCCTGTGCGTCTGCTCCTGAACCACTGCAGGCCCCAGAATCTGTGGAAGCCGCTTCTGGACTCACAGAATGTCTCTCGGGTTCAGAAGAATTGGAACTACTTCCCTGCTGTTGTCTTTTGGCTTAAATTTTGTCTTTGAACTTGAATGTTTGACCCTAGGAAAGAGGAGCAGGAGTGTCTGGCTCCTGGTCTTTCCAGTTTAGAAAAGGCACTGGGCCAGGTAGGGACCACAGGAGCTGAGGCCCGCCTGCCTGCCCTTGTCTTTTTTTCCCCTCGGTTCTGTGTTACAAGAGTTGCTGGAGACCGTTTCAGATGATTATTTAATTTGTAAATATTGTACAAATTTTAATAGCTTAAATTGTATATACAGCCAAATAAAGACTCGCCTTAGTGACTGATAGAGCTGGGTTTCATGGGAACAGCATGCCAGGCTGCTGCTGCTTGCTCGGGCTGGCGACTTGAGAATCCCCAGGGACATGGGTTTCGTTAGACAAGTCGTTAACTGTTACAGAGCTATCACCATTTTCCATATGAAGAAACTGAGCCCCAGAGAAATTCAATTCCCTGCCTTAAAGGACAAGTAGGGGAGCCAGGCTTTGAGGGTGGGGACTCAGGCCTCTGACCTTTGTAACTCCCTAGGATGGGGCAAGTGTGAAGGTTCATTGGCTGGGGGGTGGGACGGGATGGCAGGGGCAAAAGGCCAGCATCTTTCTTCCTGCAAAGCCCCTGTCTAGCCTTGATACCAGGCCACCAGGGAAAGGCAGGCTGGCTCTGGCCCAACTCTCCCAAGAATGGAGCCCAGGCGAGGGGCCTTCTACTTCTCCATGAGTAAAAGGAATGAGTTCAGGGGCTGACCAGGGCCCTCTATGCCTATGCCCTGTGGTGACTTTACTCGGAGCTGAAGACCTCCGGGAACCATGCCCGAGTCCTGTGTGTTCGCCACAGCCGCCACCGAACCAGGTCTGGCCCAGAGCAAGGGCTTGAGAGCATCTGCAGCAGTGAGGGTGTGAAGGCCAAGGAAGACACGTACTCAGTGGGTCTGCTCTGCGCTACCCGCCCCTCAACTGGGTTGGGCTGTTACTTCCAACGGTCAACAACCTCCAGAATCTGAACAGTGAGCCCAGTGAGCTCCACCAGAGGCAGGGTCCCCACCGGCAGACAGCCGTCCCCGCTGCGGGCATCTGTGGAGAGGGTCACGTTCCCCCTCAATGTGAGCGAGGCCTGCTCTGAAGCCCTTTAGCCCTGACTGCGCCCTGCCCAAGCTCTTAGCCCTGGCATTTATACCTTCTGTCCTAGTTGCTCCAACAGCCACCTCACTCCTCCCAAGACCCCCTCCCCGCCCAGACTCTAGTCTGGTGGGGATGCTATCATGCAGGCTGCTTGGCTGGGCCTCAGAAGCCCTTCTCCAGGAGCCAGGCTTTGAGCTGCTGGTCGAAGTAGCCCTTGATGCGCAGGGTACCTGTCACCTCATTGACCTGGGTGACCGGTGTCTTCCCCAGCAGTGGACTCAGAAAATCTTCCACATCTTTCTGCAGGGCCTGAGGGGGAGAGGGAGGACGATGACACATCAAGGTCAGACCATCCCCTCTTATAAGACTCCCATCCCTCCAGCCCCGAAAGGGTTAGTATCAGCCCCCGACCCATGTCCTCACTTACCCAGATGTCCCCCTCCACCTTCCGGATGACAGTCATCTGGCGGTTGCCATGTGTGATGTCCTTGTAGACAGGGATGTTGTGCATTCGAGAGCGCCGCACCAAGTAGGGCAGGTCGGGTGGGGGGTCTGTTACATGCAAGAACAGTGAGAAGCCAAATCTCCCCAGGCTTTATGCCCCCTCAGCTGATGCCCTTCCCCAGTGTACAGAGAAATCAGTGCACCCGATGGTAAAGCCACCTCTTGATTTCAGGTCAGAACACCTGCTCTTTCCCTAAACTGAAGCCAAGACCAGCTGCTTTGTCCTGGTAACCTCCCAGGCCTAGCACAGGGCCTGGCAGTAGAAGATGCTCAAGAAGAAATGAAGTTAGGGCCATGCCTCCCTATATCTTTAGGTCCCCATCTGGGGCCAATCCTTGCACTTCTCCCCTGGGTCAGGGAGGCTAATAGCAATCTCTGACACAAAGAAATGGGGATTTACAGCACTGAACACCTGCCTACCACATGCTGGGCTCTGTATTAAGTGTTTTATGTACCGAGCAGATTATCTCCATCTTGCTGAAACTCCATATGGGAGAAGCTAAGTGACTAACTCGTGATCACACTGGCAATGAACAGCAGAGCCAAATTTGAACTCAGAAATGCCCAACTCCCAAGCTGTGTTCTCAAAGATGGTACAAGGTCTACTACTGGAGTGGGAGTGGGGATCCCAGCTCTTAGGTCTTCTCTCTATGCTTCACTTCTCTGGAATGGGAAGACTTCATCCCGACAGTTTGGATGGATGGGTACCAGTAAAATAGGGCTGCCTTCCCAGGCCCTTCCTTGAACATGAGACAGATGCTAAGCCCTGAGACACCTCAACACGAGTCCTGAACCCACTGGGGAATCCAGAGCCTCAAATGGGGAGGTAGACCAGTAGGGAGAGGAAGGCTTCCCCCTATAAACCTCAAGCCATCCCGATCGCCCAGCTCACCTCTGGGTGGCTGCCAACCACTGGGAGTGGGATAGTGTTCATGCTTCGGTGGCTTTGGGATGTTGGTAGGGGGTAACAGGCGCTCCACAAAATGATATTCATCCACAGACTCCACAAAGCTTGGGTAATCAGGAGGCTCCTGGGTTTGGCTCTGAGGCCAAAAACAAACAACAAACAACTATGAGCCCACCCACTACACACCCACCCATCAAAGGAGAGGCAGAACTTAGGTAAAAAAAGGAAGCACTACAGGTGCAAAGAATGGCATAAATAAAAGCCTGGAGACAGAAAAGCCCCAGACTTCAGTCGGCCAGGATAGAGGTGAGACTAGAAAAGAAATTCAGGCACTCTGAAGGGCTTGCCCCTCTTAGGATTTCTGTGTGACTCAAAAACCATAGTCAGGGCACCTGGGTGGCTCAGTCGTTAAGCATCTGCCTTCCGCTCGGGTCATGACCCCAGGGTCCTGGGATGGAGTTCCACATCAGGCTCCCCGTTCTGCGGGAAGTCTGTTTCTCCCTCTCCCACTCCCCCTGCTTGCGTTCCCTCTCTCGCTGTGTCTCTCTCTGTCAAATAAATAAATAAAATCTTTTTTAAAATATTTTATTTATTTATTTGACAGAGATCACAAGTAGGCAGAGAGGCCGGCAGAGAGAGAGAGAGGGAAGCAGATTCCCCGCTGAGCAGAGAACCCGATGCATGGCTGGATCCCAGGACCCTGGGATCATGACCTGAGCCGAAGGCAGAGGCTTTAGCCCACTGAGCCACCCAGGTGCCCCAAATAAATAAATAAGTAAAATCTTAAAAAAAAAAAAAAGTCAATTTACTGTAAATCTGACCGACTAAAATTTTTCAGTATTTTAAAGCTTCCTCTAAACGTTCTACTGAAATATTCTAGTTCTGGATTAGGCACTTTCAGCAATCGTGATAATCCCACTCACAATCACCCGATGTGACCCTCGCTTACCTGGAACATTCTGGCCTCATATAAACACCCCCAGGCAATGGATGGACTAAATATATTACGGGTATTTTTACTGAATTCTTACAATGACACAAGTTAGGTATTTTACTACCCCCTTTTTCCATGTAAGAAAAATTAAGACATTAACAAACCATCTACCTAAGGTAACTCTCCGCAAACCGTCCTCCCATTCTCCAGCCTGAAGAATCTTTTTGGACACTTTTCCGAAAAGATACCCTGGAGTCCTGATAGGCCCGGGGTTACGAGAAAAGGGAAGCAGATTGGAGTGGACTGTATATCATGAACTCTAGGTTCCCATTACTGTCGCCAATGATCTGGGGCCGACCACTACCCTGTGGAACGGTATCCCTTTTAAAAAATTAGCCGGAGTCGATGGGCAGCCCCTCCCAGTTCTGACTAACCCAAATGGTCCACCAATCAGGTTCTAAGCCCCAAACACCGAGGAGCACTACAGGCCTTGCACCTTTATCTTGTATCTGAGCTCCAGGGTTACAGGAGTAACAGTGAGACTCAACGCAGCCCTCTTCTCCCCATCTCCAGGCTCAGCGTTCTCACCAGCTGCCGTAGCCCGCAGCCCCGCTGGACGCCGGTTCTCCATCCTCTCAGCGTAGCGCGGAACATGGCCGCTGCCATCTTGAACTTCTCCCGTACACCGGTCGTCTGCGCGCGCAACCGGCCAGGTCCCGCCCCTTCGTGGGCGCGCTCCCGGGACCGAAAGAACGCTTGCGCAAAGCGTAAAGAGGCGGAGCTAGAACTGCTGTGGGCGGTACAAAAACCAAAGGCTCTAGCGGTCGCCCAGCAGTGACGTGGCACGCAGCAGGCGGTGTGGACGTGCGCGCCCCTGCTCCTTCCTCTTTCTCGACTCCATCTTCGCGGTAGCGGCTGCGGTGCTCGCGGTTCAGGTAAGATCTGGGTCACCGCTGGATCTGGAGGGCCTAGTAGCAGGTGTGCCGCGAAGTCAGAGGGCGCGGGAAAAACGGGGAGAGGGTGTGTTCTGAGGGCCAGCTTCCGGTCCCCACCCGACCTCCCAGGCAGGCCCGGCCTTACCCACGTGAGATCCCGCGACCACCTATATCCCAGCGCGATCGGTGCCGGCCCGCTGCCTTCCCCCGACCCCCTTTCTCCCAGAGCATTCTGCTCTTACGAGCCATTCTTTCGTCAGTCGCCGACATGCAGCTCTTCGTCCGCGCCCAGGAGCTACACACCCTCGAGGTGACCGGCCAGGAGACGGTCGCCCAGATCAAGGTAAGGCTGCGTGGTGCTTCCTGGGCACCGTCCTTTTGTGTTCTTCAGTCTCGCTCCGCGAGAACGCTGATGAGCCTTACTTTACCGTAGGCTCATGTAGCCTCGCTGGAGGGCATCGCTCCTGAAGATCAAGTCGTGCTCCTGGCAGGCACGCCCCTGGAGGATGAGGCTACCCTAGGTCAGTGTGGAGTGGAGGCACTGACCACCCTGGAAGTAGCCGGCCGCATGCTTGGAGGTGAGTTGGGGAGCATTGTACTTTGAAATGTCTGTAAAGTCATAATACGAGTGTGGGGTGTGGGGTTCAGTGTCCTAACCCCAGGGTGGTGGTTCCTGTTTACCTTCCTCATTAAGAGGTCCATGGAAGACTGAGCTGGAGCCTAGTTCTGTTTCAATTACTTATTAGCCCCTTGTTTGCTCACTGAAATCAAGTCTGACTGGATTCCTCAAGGTGCTTTTCAGTTCTTGTTTAAAGTCGGGCTGGAAGATACTGAAGTGAAACCCTGGAACGTACTGTACTAAACACTCTTGGTCAGAGGTCATATCTCTGCACCTTTGTTTTCAGCCCCTATTGGTCCCTGTTTATTTTTAAAGGCTTGAGTTGAGGAAGAAAGGATTCTGCTGGGTGGGGCCCTCTTGCTCTCCTAACTGCGTTGACCTCCTTTCCCACCACAGGTAAAGTCCACGGTTCTCTGGCCCGTGCTGGGAAAGTAAGAGGGCAGACTCCCAAGGTAGGTGACCGTATTAGTGGTGTTATTTAGAGTTTGGGTTTTTGTTTTTGTGTGCAGGTTTGGTTTTGTTTGTTTGTTTTTAAGCTAAGCCAAGACCTTTGGTCTTTCCTCTGTTTGCCTTCTCCCTCCCTAAAGGTAAGACTGAGGGATGGTATGGGAGGTCTGATTATCCTTCCCTTTTCCCAGGTGGCCAAACAGGAGAAAAAGAAGAAGAAGACAGGCCGAGCCAAGCGGCGGATGCAATACAACCGGCGCTTTGTCAACGTTGTGCCCACTTTTGGCAAGAAGAAGGGCCCCAATGCCAACTCTTAAGTCCATTGTAATCCTGGCTCTCCCCCAATAAAGCCTCTTAGTTCAATCATTTCATTGTTTCACCTTAATATGCAGGGAGGGCCTCAGGAAGATACTTGTTTGGGTATCTTCTAGGGCTGGTGGTGTGTTCATTAGAACAGTGAGGCATGGTTCTGGTTTCTTGGCACTGTCAGGTTGGAAGAGACGGGCCTTGGGTTGGGGAAGCAGTGGTAAACTGTAGAAAAAAGGGTTACCATGAAAATTGGTAACTCCAGATGGCAGCTCTTCGGATGGAAATTGGGGGAGATTTCCTAATCCAAATAACTTGATAAGTCTCTCAAGTCATTTTTTACTGGTTTTTTGTTTTGTTTTGTTTTGTTTTTAATATTTTATTTATTTATTTGACAGAGATCACAAGTAGGCAGAGAGAGAAGGAAACAGGCTCCCCGATGAGCAGAAAGCCCAATGCGGGACTTGATCCCAGGACCCTGAGATCATGACCTGAGCTCAAGGCAGCGGCTTAACCCACTGAGCCACCCAGGAACCCTTGTTTTTTGTTTTTTAAGGTTGGTTTTTTTTTGTTTTTTAAGATTTTATTTCTTTATTTGTCAGAGAGAGAGAACACAAGCATGCAGAGTGGCAGGCAGAGGCAGAGAGAGAAGCAGGCTCCCCATTGAGCAAGGAGCCTGATGTGGGACTTTATCCCAGGACCCTGGGATCATGACCTGAGCCCAAGGCAGCGGCTTAACCAACTGAGCCACCCAGGCGTCCCTGTTTTTTAAGGTCTATTTGAAAGGGAGCAGTGGAGGGCAGAGGGGGAGAATCTTTGCTCAAACACACCCACCCCCCCGGCTCTATCCCAAGCATGGGATTCTACACAGAGCTCCATCTCAAGATCTGAGCTGAAACCAAGTCAAGAGATTTAACTGAATAACCCATCCAGGCACCCTGTTCTTGGTCTTCAAACAGAGGAGATAAGAATCCTTGTTGTGGGAGGATTATGGCGGCATCAGCAGAGAAATTTGGGTAGAAGATATATCAGGGAAGGGCAGTCTGACTTTTCCTGAACTTGGAACCAGCTATGGCCTTAGTGGAGTCCAGGGCACAGGTCCAGTATGTCCCTACTTGAGAAAATACGGGCCACCCCTATTGGGGGGAAGTCAGTGGTGCAGGCCCTTAAAGAGAATTCACCCAAGGCAGAACAAAGGAGATGAAATTTATTGAATACACAGCAAAAGAGCAGCGGGCAGGCCAGCAAAGGAGAGACTGCCAGGAGGCAGTGGTCTGGGGGGCTGAGGTTAAAGGGGAGGGGGAAGAGTTGAGGGACCTTGTGGAACTTTACTTTTTTTAGTACCTGTGCATGGTTGTAAGCAGCCTGTTGCTCAGCTAGGACTTACGGCAATTTCGAGGTGGACCTGTTTGCAGTCAGCCCCATGGTGGCTGTAGGCCCTTTTATTTTACCTTACTGGGACTTCATTGCCCATGCCTGTTCTCTGAAAGTGGCTGTCACAGAAAGCCTTGCCTGATGACCTTGGCATGATGGTGACCTTGTTTGTAGCTCCACCTATCTGGCTAACTTCATTAATGAAATCACAGCTCAGGCTGGTGGGTTGGTTGGTAGTGTTCCTGGGAGTGGATTCTCTGGGCTTGATTCAAAGTTCCCCTAGCAACACGGGTACCTACCCATTTTGTGAAGGTTTTTGAACCTGCTGGTTCTCGAAATACAGTATAACATGAGGTGAAGACCTTGTATTTAGACTTGGACTGCCTTAAGTTTGAATCCTTGCTTCATTTATTTTCCGACTCTCCAACCTTAAAATGACTTAATTTCTGCTCTCATGTCTTGAGAGTTGTGAAGAATATAAAGGATGTGAAGGTCTTAGATCACCTGCCACATAGGAAGTGTGCAAGCCTACAAGGCTCTTTTTATCTCTAGTAATCTTTAGGAAAAGTCAGTCACCTCCCTTCTAGACATTTGATTCTTGTGGGTTAAGTGAGGAAGATAGTTAACAAGTGGTAGAATCTCAAAGAAAGTAAGAAGGGTGTTGCAAAGAAAGAGGGAAGGTTGGGGATGGACTGTGTGCAAAGCTGTGTGGTTTTGTCAGACCTGAACAGGAGTTCGGTTTTGAGTCCAAGTGCAACGGAGGGTCACCAAGTACAGGGAAGGGTTTAAGTAAGGGCCTGATGTGATCTGACTTGTGATCCAGTGCTTCGTCTGGCTGGTTTCTCTGAATGGCTGGCAAGAAAGGGAACCAGATAAGGAACTAGAAACTGAAACTGCCAGTAGTAATGGGATGTGGAAAACAAGCGGACTTGAAGGTCTTCAAATCCATCCAGATCTTGATAGGATTCAAGATCCATCCAGATCTTGATAGATGATCCATAAGGAGATAAATACAAGGGATTGTGAAGGCAGAACTTACTGGGGGGGGGACTAAAAAAACAGCTCTCTTTTCATGGGTGCGATGGTCCAAGTCCTGGGGGCCCTAGCATGGTTTGTGTGGGTTATCACCCCCCACTCTACAAACTAAGCTTCATTAGGACAGGGACCCCATCTCTTTGCTGCTCAGTGTGTTTCTGGCACCCAGTATGGATTCTGCACTTTAAAATTGGACGAACCATATATTTGGAGGGGAAATCAAACAGGAGTTCAGATACCTGTTAAAAGTTTCTTTCTTCTCAAGAGGGGAAATGCCTCCCAACACACACATACAGAGTCTAGACCAAGGAGTCCATCTTCACCCTTTTTCTGTACTCCCCTTTGTGTCTGTGTCCCCTAGTAGAATAGCTGCCCTTCCAGTGGAGGGAGGCATCGCATCCCCCATAGGCCTGGGGCATTTAGGGGCCTTTGAGGGGATGCTTCGAGAAGATCCATTTCCGCCAGGTAAAGCACCGTGCTTCAAGGGAACCACTAGGGGGCGAGCTGGTACCTCGGGCACCCGCCCTCGCTCGCTCACCACGCAGGGCCGGGCCGGTGCGTCCCGACCAACTCCTGCGCCTCCTCAAGAGCTATTTGACAGTGGGGGCGGGGCTTGGCTTCCGAGGGTAGGCGGAAGTTGCCGAAAGGCCTCGGGGGCTTTACGCTCCCTCGGCCTAGCAAGGAGGCGGAAGTAACCGATTAGCACCGGAAGTTGTCGGGGCTGCCTGCGCTTGTTCGCAAGTGTGCGGGGCGCCAGTTGCCATGGAGCCGGCCGGGTCTTGCGGTTTCTGCCCGGCGGGGGAGGCCCAGCCCGCGCGCTACACCTGCCCTCGCTGTAACGTGCCCTACTGCTCGCTGCGCTGCTACCGGGCGCACGGCACCTGCGCCGAAGACTTCTACCGGGACCAGGTGCTGGGAGAGCTCCGCGGCCGCAGCGCCTCACCCAGTCGCCTGGCCGGCGCCCTACGGCGGCTGCGGCAGCAACGCGAGACCGAGGATGA